GTGGTTTTCTGTTCAAATATGTTTTTTTTCTTGGCTGGAAATGAGACTGCTGAAGCTAAACTAGCTTTCTTATTGCAGCATTGACAAATTAAAAATGCCTGTGTTATAAGATATTGTAATTGAAAGATATTATCTAAACTAGTTTTAACATTGTACAATCTTATATCTCACTTCAACAGATGCCAAGTTTAACAGCAAAGAAGTGTTTAACAATGAGCCAAATGAGAAAAAGCACCATTGAAACACAAACTTGACTACATGAAAGTGTCTGCTATTAACTTCATTTTTTTATTTTATGACCAAGACTGTTTTCATATACAGACTGTACATGTTCTTTTATACGAAAATAGTCTATATAATGCAGTCTTTTGACTGACAGACATGTTCTTTGGAAGACAACATTAAAGTTAGTGGATGAAATATGGAAAGACCTTTTAGCGATATGCTGCCTATCCTTTTCTTTTCAAAAAAGCATTCAGTGCATGTGTAGTTTGCTATTATAGTTTGCTTTGTCAACAATGTTTAAAATTTAAGAAGATTAAGCTACTGGACAGCGTCAATCAGACTGTTTTTTTGTACCTGTAGCACTCAGCCACTTGTGCTTGAGTTTAAACTGGCTAAATTTAGAGGTTATTTAAAAAAAAAGGAACATTTGTCACTTACTCATAAATAAGTACATCTCGAGACTTGTATGTAAAAACAGCCTGATGAGCCCAATAATAATACTGAATTACTGTTTCTGACATCATCATGTTGCATGTGTTTTCATGAAATACATTCAGAAGCTTTTGCACACCAATGGGTGAGAAACATACTGAAATTTACCGTCTTGCAATTAATTAAAAATAATTTCAATGTGATAGGCTCTATACAAATTTAAGTTTTTATATTTTAAGTTCCCATTGAGATTGCCTTTTTGAGTTCTTACACACAGTGAAGAGGCTTGTGGTATTTCTTTCATTCAAAACCTTAACATGAAATACAGATAATGTAAAAATATTATTCTGTGTATTCACTGACAGCTGCATTTAAGTTTAAAACCATCTTCGATACATTAGTCCTGACTCATGGAAAAGTAAATCACTTAACTACTAATCTGCTTGGCCTTCCATTTCTGCAGTTTTAAGAAGGTGAGCACTCCTAGTGTCCAACTACATTTCTAAAGAGGTCGGTGCCCCTTCAGGTGCCCCTTGAGGCCTCACAGTAACCCTGCTGTTGTTCCTTTTTGTCTCACTTTACTTCCTTCATTAATCTCCTTCCCCTTTTAGCTTTTTCTTTAATCTCTCCATCCTTTCGTTCCTCCTCTCCCCTCTCAGGCCTCCTCCTGTGTCTGCTTCCTACTCAATCTAGCTCTCCATCCATCCCTCCTGCGGCTATTCAACACAGTTGTGTTCCAGACAAACCATCTGGTGCACTTTATTAATGACTGACCCTACATGGCCTAGACGTCGCCTCGCTGCCACCACTCCCTGGGTGTATGTGTGTTTGTGTGTCTATCTGTATGTCTGTGTGTGTGTGTGTGTGTATGTGTGCAAGAACAGGTGCATGCTGACTGATGATGTGATGTTATGTGGACCTTTAACCACTGAAGCAAGTGTACTGGATATACTGCAGGTACCCAAACTTCTCATCCTGACTCCAGCTCAATTTTTACTTGTCTCTGTCAAGTACAAATGTGCTCGCAATCAACTTTATTTAAACACTTACAGAATCCAGTGAAAATGGCTTTTAGAAATCTGAACACAGGTCTATTCTAGGCAGTTGAAAAATAGAAAGTTCAGACACATACAAGGCAAATTTCATTACATAATCTGTGACTTAACATGAACCCCTTGGTCATAAAACAACAAGATATAAAAGTTATGGCTTATTCATAAATAACATAACATTTAAAAAGGGTAATTTGGCTTTAAAAGCTTTCTAAACCAGTAAAGCCTGGAAGAGCTGCTGAGAATTGGGATTGATGTGCGCTGACATCCAACCGCTGACAATAAAAGTGGGATGAGATAGATGTAAGGGAGAGACAGGAGAGGGGGGTAAAAGATAAGACGAGGAGATGCAGAGATGTGGATGTCTGGGGATTGATCCCTCTAAGACACACTCAGGGTCTCCTCAGAGAATGAAAAGACATAGGAGGGAGAGGAAAAAGAGAATGACTTATGAAGATGCCCCACTTGAAAGAGATGTGTCAACACTTTGATGGTAAAGAAGGAGAGAGTGCAAATGCAAGAAGAGAAGGAACATATAGCGTAGGCTACAGTATAATGTAGCAGGTCAAACCAAAGAAAAAGGTCAGAGAAAAAAACAGGTTCAGATTTAATCACCTGAGAAGTGCTGGGTGATGTTGCATACAAATGATTTACAATATCTTTGGAAGGGAATACAATAATTCCATAATGCAGTATGATTCAATGTGGAAGAGAGTGTAGTTGCTAGGGTCGTAATGATAAACCGATCTGAATCTGTAACCAAAGATTCAGATCTTATCTAAATGTTAAAGACCTGAGTTCTGGATTGGTAAAAATGTTCCATGAACAGGTTGATGGCCTGACTCTAATGTTATAAGCCGGTTTACTGACGTTTTGCTGCTCATTCTACTTGTTGAGTCTCTTATGTTGACCTTCTAGCTTTTCAGAAGAACAACATTAGCAGAATGTGGCTAGCTAGTTAGCTGTAAGTGGCTGGCAAGGAGTAAATGACGTCACAAACGGCCAAAGCGATTAACAGTTCTCCAACTCAGATATCAAGTCATGTGGACAAGCCACGGCTGCATGCAGTTCAATGACATGAAATCTCTCCTGGTGTTTTTTTTTTTTTTTTTTTTTTTTAGTTAAGATGCTCCCATTAAATAGAAGAAGCCCAAGACCAAAGCCTAAAGTTCTAACAGCATCTATAGCCATTCAATATGTGGGGCTTGACACTATTGTTGAGAGTGATCGCTGTCTTGCATGAATTGGATCGTCTTAAAACAATTCACACACCCAACACATACAAAGCCAGTGATAGAAAAACGATCATAGGGATGGATAGTTTTCATCAAAAGATTTCTTGGCCCCATAGACCAGATTGGATAGAACAATAAGAGACACAGTGAAAAACTCACTTCCGAGAGCAAAATCCCTGAGTGGACTTGCTAGGAACATGACCATCAACTAATTAGTATAACTCAACGTAGGTGTGTAAACCACGACTGAGTGCTGACAATGCTCCCGAGGTGGATGCGACACGTCAGCTATTATTAAACATACGTTGCCAGGCTAGATAAAAGCAATTCTATACAAATCCTGCGGTGTGACTGGGATTGTTTTTAAATTAAAGCTGCTGTTTTTATGTATTGATTGAATTCACTTTTTACCCATGCAACCCCTTCACAAAATGAATTAGCAAACCAAGTACCCAAATGAACCAGATTGTGATTTCTTCAAAGACCCTGCAGCGCTTCAACTTCTTTGTCTTTAAACACGCAGAACTTTATTTGATTTGAATTACATTCAAGATGACTGTGAGTCTGCCAAACAATGATGCAGCTGAGAAACTTCAGGGACAAAAGGTCAACATAACAATGGACCTGCCTATCCATTTAACCAATTTCCCCACTCTTGCTAACTCTCTCTTATGAGCATTTTTTCTAACAATTAAGGCTTCATTAGTCATTTATTGTTTCCTTTGGCAGCCGACTGAGAGAAGAAAGAGAAAACGAGGTATTTTTAAGGTGTCAGGTAATCATTCAAAGAATAAGTGAAAATAAAACAGCAAACACAATGACACAAAGTGTTAAGGTAGCGCTACTTGTGGCCAAGACACCTCTGTATTAGTGTTGAAAGTTAAAAGAAAATATCTTTATTTAATCTTCTTTCTGTATACCTTTCAAGATAATCATCAATTTTAATGACAGCTGTACAATCTCAAAGTTAAAAATGAGCTTCTCTCAGCGGCAATTCTCAGAGTGATGCTTCATTTAAAAATATAAAAAGTTTGACTGATGCTTGACTGACAGTTTTCGTATTCTATTAAAATCAGATGATGAGCCGATCAAAAGTCCTGCCCAGGCATCTCCACTTAAAACACATTTTTATTTTCTGTTTACAGTGAACTGCCAGCAGCAAATGCAGCCTCTTACATCTAAACATTTACACAGTAAAACTGTTAGCTTTCATTCAGTATCAGTAGCGTATGTGTTCTGTCTGAAGTTTGACATAGCTCTCAAACACGCCTCTCTTAAAAGTCTTCAAGGATTAGTATTATTTAAATTCATACAGAAGTCGTGACAGAACTGGAACAGGATTTTACATTTGTAGATGACAGCAGGCCGGCCTGTATTTCCTAAATACACACACATGCAAATTTGCATTTGAACTTACAGTACAGTATACGCACAAGTAACAAGCACATTCACACATGCACACAGTCAGTAAGCATATCATCATTTTCATTAATTATGGATTGGTGCTCATGATACCTCTAGTGTTGATTTTTTGAAAGATGTAATTTAGTAAATGGTTATATTTTCAAATGAGTAGTTTGGTTTCAAAGCTGATATCCAAAACTTAGTTCAAATATACATTTTTATCTTTTCATTTTATGATGTTGAATGTAGCTTCGTGTGGATATTCTAACATCCAAAAATGTTAATTAACCAGGGAGAAAACAGAGTGAGACGTTTGTAGCTAAGTGTGCATTTATATCCTTTGTCTACATAAGACTGAATTCAATTTGAGGTCATATTTCTTGTTCTGCTGCCTTTTATAAAATCTAAAACAAAATGTACAGTCCTGCACTTTAATGAAAGCACATAATAGTCTATTAAACTACCTGTGCTGGCTAACACTCTGCATTGTGTACATTTCACGTAAAGAAAAAGTGAATTGTGCTTCAATGTGGCAACATATTAACTATTGATTCTCTTCTCACATTAGTGCTAAATCTTGTCAAAATTATACACTGCATGTCAAGCGTCAAGAAAAAAAAAAAAGAGTCTCAGACCCTTTGTCCACACTCACCACATGTGCTGGTACTTGCTCCATCTTGGCGGCAGGAGTTCCGGGTCTGGGGTAGAACTGGTTGATAAAGAGACTTGGGAATTGGTAGAGTTTTACCAAATCCACCGTCTCTTGGAAGTCTTCCTCCGTCTCACCAGGAAAACCACAGATTATATCTGTTGCAATGGTTACACCTGGGACCCTACAGGAAAGATAAAGAGGTCATATGTCAGACTTTTGCGGTGTGGAGGAGCCCTATAAAAGACAATCAGCTTCTACTTTTGATATTTTCTGATTTAAATATTTTTTTAAATATGAAAACAAAAAACAGCAGCAGGGTACATTTTTAAGCCAAACTACAGGATTCGGTTCGACACCTGTTTGATCTGTTAATGCCTACAGTTCATGGTATTGTTTCGCAGTTAACCAATAAGGGGAGACATTTGCTTTTTTAATCTGTTTTATTATCTAATTAAGGAACGTCATGGAGAGGAATCGCTTCCAGAAATTGAATTTCAGTAATAAACTAAACAAAGAAAGAAACACCATCCAGTCTGACATTTTTCATTAAACTTCTACTTGATCAATTATTTAAACTTAATCTGAGCTTTGGCATTTTCCCACAGTTAATGCAGGCCTGGAAAAACCATGTGAAGCACAACAGCATTAAAGAAAGCTAAAGCCTTTCCCTGTGGACTCATTCAGCCAATCAAACCCTGATTAGAAACTTCTGCTGCTGATCAATAGTTATTGATTATTGACCTGCTGGCTCATTGAATTACTAGTAGCCAGTAAGGTGTGGGAATAGATGCATTGATCAGTTCTGTATATTTTGTTTGTATTGACGGGAGTTTGACAGCTTAGAAAAGAACTCCAAGGCTACGTCATATGTCAGTCAGAAAACCTTATATCTCCAGTGGTCCTACTTCACGTTCTCATTGATATTTATCCTGTTTTGACGTGTTGGCATACAGTTTCAAGCAGTTATGCTGGATCCCAAAGGTATTTAGCATCATCTCTGCTGGCCAACCGTTTTAAATTACCATAAATGGATAAATAAGCAGTAAAAGATTCTGCACTTTATTCAGAATAGTATCATGAGAAGCACAGATGAGGATCCACTGACCTTTTTCTCCTAGAATGGGAATGGTATAGAATTTGTAAACAATTGGGAATCATTCTCATTTCAAAAAAGCAATGCCATTGACGTCTTTAAACCCTGAAAAACTAAATTGAGTATTATAGGTAGGACACTGAAGCCTGTAAGTGTAAAATTGAGTTTTATATAGCAGCAGGGTCTGCTACTAGATCCCAGTTTGTCTTCAGTAGCACATTGTTTTACAGATTTTGTGTGTAGAGCTTTGGATGGAATGATGGAGGAAGACTGTAGTGACTGAATAAACTATTAATCACTAGTAACTGAGGTTGCTACTTTCAGTTCACTGCTTCACTTAATCTTTATTGGTGCCTCTCTCTGTCGTCCTTTCCTAACCACTGTGTTTGAAAGCATCTCACCTCTGATGCTGCTATTCAATATCACTATTCCCTCTTGTCAATGAGTGCCTGGCTGTAGACGTGGTGATGCAAAACAAACAGCACTAAAACCAAATTTAAAGTATCTACAGTTTGTTGTTAAAGGGCCTAAATGAAAAGACAAATAAGCACTTTCCAGTCCAACAACAAGAAAGACATAAGAAAAGAGTGGAAAGGACATTTTCTCTGCAATCGACAACATGATGCATCTTTAATGACATTAACTTCCTGCATCTGCAACTCGCTGATAACCTCTGACCTATTGATGGCTTCCGATTGGTCATTAATATTAACCAATAGCCTAAAGGCAGAGGCATCCTTGACCTCACAGATCTGCCTGATGACTACTCTTTGGACAAGTAAAAACAAAATAAATTAAAATCAAAAATCTGAGGAATGAATGGTTAAATAGATGAATACATGAATAATTTTCTATTTGAAAGCCCTCCAGCAGTGGCCCTTTGAGTATTTAACATAAAATACACTGTTTTAATTTTTTAGTTTGTTAAGTAAACAAATGACTTTTTTGCAGCCTGTGGGCTTTCCATAATAATTATTCAAGTAAGGAGCCCTGAATGTGTGAAAATATCGCTCCGTTTTTTAGAACCAAGGTTCCCCAACAGGTCAAATTATGTTCATCAGTAAATTACATTTATTCAATCCAAAGGCACATCAGCCAATGAGATGTACCGGTAATCACAAAAACATTCTTCTTTTACAGTGATGAAACAGAAGTTTCAATGAACTCGGTTAATTTGTTGATCTTTTCACAGGAGAATAAAATATCATCCTATATGTTCTACCCCAAGCTATTTCATTAAAGGAAGTGGGGGGGAGGGTTAAATAAAATTAGCAATGGATAAAAAAGCTAAAATAATTCTGGCCTCAAAAGATAACTGTATTTTTCATTTCCCCAAGGCTTGTTTATCTTATTAGCTGTGGCCCCTTTGGTGGTAGTTGTGGTGCAGAGGTATATATTTAACGAAGCAAGTGTGTCCTTTTCTTTCACGCAACAGTACTACTAAAATTTACACCTTTGCTGGCAAAAAAAAAGTTGAATGCAGGCCAAGGTTGGAAAATAACACATGGAGATAGAATATGGAGGCAAAGAGCTGTGAGAGAGACGAGTGTGAATTGGCTTTTGCGGATTTTCTTAAGGTGAGGGCTGAGAGGGAACAAAAAACATCCGCGCACACAGTCATTCTGACACCTCTGTCTCTCCCAGATCTAAGGGTGATGGAGGTGTCATGTGTGATACTAATGAACATGAGCGGCGTTGGTATTCTTGCTTGTTAAAATGAGAGAGGAGAAATGGATCTTGTTATTGTTCACCTTTCAAAAACAGAATGAGGAAAAGAAAGACACGGAGATGGAGAAAATTCAAGAAAGAAGATGGATTATGTCAGCTCAACTTGCTTTCAATTAAACCAATGAAGAAAGAGGGCTTTTTTAAAATCTTTAAAACATGTCCAACTTGGAGTGAACTTCTGATAAAAACATGCTCGACAACGTGCTCGACATTGCCCTGGTCGGTCTGAGCAAGGTCGTTCTTATATAAAAAGGACTCTAGGTAAGCGAACGGAAACCATAAACAGTAGAGCTTGGAGCTGGAGTAACATGCTCACACACAAAGTTCAACAAAGGGAAATAGTACCACGTAGCAGTCGACAGGGGACGTGATCTGTGAAGCAGCAGGTTTCGGCCACAGGGAAGCAGTTTGTATGAGCAAATTATCCAAAGGGGAAAGGTGGAAGACAGGTCGGAGCCAGGCAGCGGGTCAGATAGCCAGACGGTTGGCAGTCATGCTTGGTAGCAGGCGTTAAAACACACACAGACACGGAGATCCAACACTAAGTGTACAGATACACTCACACTGAGAGCTCAATGTTTAGAATCTTCAAACAGACTAGGAGGCGAGCAGACAGTTTGTAATAATTGTTTGTTTTAATCTGTGTTTTAGGGATCCTCATGTTTTTACAAATATACTGTACATACTTCCATGTTGCACTCATTATGATCTCATCTGAACAGATTTTTGTCATTCAAATGATTTAAAACTTTAATTATAAAGCAACATTATATTAAAAAAGTTGTGTTTTAATTGCGCTCAGGCCATAAGTACAGATAATGAGATGGGACGATACGGGCCTGGACGATAACGTGCACGGGCTCAGGTCGATTTAGTCTGGATGTTATGAACCCGGTCTATGCTCCAATTTACATCCATCCTGTTTTTCATCTCATTTTAATTCCTGATCTGACATATATTCATTGTTTTGACTCATTGTTCAGTGGAGCTAGAACTGGATTTCTGACAGCTAATGTTGGCAAAACTATAAAGATATATTTAAATGTCTACATTCTGTCAGGAATTGTAACATTAAAAACATGCCATGTCTCATGATACACAAATGTTTGTTTTTTTTGTCCTTATAAACAAATGGCAGTTATCTAACAAATGCATTGAGAATTCAATGCAGAGTAACAGAAACACTGACAGAGCAAGATGAGTCTCTCTGGTGTGTGGAGAGGAGATAAACAGACGGAGTGGAGAGACATGATCTGTTATGTCAGGCATGGAGGAAAAAGGAAAAAAGAGAGGGCGAATCACAGTTATTCCGTTTCATATAATACAGAAATTACACACGATACTGAAAAACAGATATGCACAGGAAAAGGTGGCTCATCACCTCTACCTTCTCTCTTATTAGCATCTTAAAATGTCTGTTTATAGAGGCTGCATTTAATTGGATATCTGTTTGATAATGTCTGTGATGAATGATCAGTTTTAATGGAAAGTAAACCGACACTATGAGAACCTGTGACGTACACTTCAGTATGATGAGAGACAGGATGAGAATAGAGCCGTTTTTATCAACGACCAGCAGTCAGTCACTAACCCCATCATTATTCCTGCACTTTAGAATAAAAAGACACAACAGCCCCAAAGCCCCTAAATCAAAGAGATAATAGGGAGGGGAAATAGGTGTGTGTTTTCATGTGTGCTTTGTTCCTGTCATTTCTCGCGCTGCCCCACGGAGGCAGAGAGAGCACATCCCTGTAGACAGTCACCTCCATTAGCCAAAGTGTGCAACCAATCTGATTTAGCATTTACACAGAGAGTGTGTTCATCGGAGACTAAAGTCTTTTAATTAAAACTCAAGATAAGCACACATCAGGCCCCCATCTGCCTCAATGGGCTGAATTAAGCTTCATAAAACATGCCATTGTCTGCGGCACAATTATGATCAACTCTTTGTTTGCTGAGGCTCTCCTACATGCATACATATGTGAGTTTTATATACAAAGCAATCTACTTCATTATATATTCAAAATAAGAGCGTGTGTGTGTGAGAGTGTTTGCACAACAGATGCCTGTGAGCGGCCCGCACGATAAGATGAAGGCGAGACTATTGGGACGGACGAAGAACCCTGAAAAAAACGACAGCAAGAAGAAAATAAAAAGTGTGAAATGGAGGTGTAGAGAGGAAAGAGATGGATGGAGGGATGGAGGGATGAGGATGGGAGAAAGACAATCTGGAGAGGTAAATATTTACCTATTTATCTGTCAGAAAGAGACCATGCTACCCCATCTGTGCTGCAGTGCATGTGTGTGCATGTGCGTGTGTGTTCTCTGAAATGATAATGTGCAGCACACAGGGGCTGCTG